TACAAATCATGTGATTTGTGTGACGCATATGTATTCGCTGCCCCTTTGTACTTATATCTACGTATTCAAATACACAGATAAAATAAATGTTGATTTCAATAATTCGACTATAGAATGGTTCTTTTGTTTTCCATTCAATAACTCTTCATTGTTCATTATCATTAGATTGATCTATTGTGTGGGTTAGAAACAATCATAATGAATGATTTTATTGTTTCTTTTATGATGTAAATCAGAAAATGGGCACAAATAGTGGATTCCATAATCTGGTTTTACACATCTACTTACTCCTGTTACCTCATCGTAGAGGAGGAATATAGGTCGTCTACCGTCACTCACCATTCAACTTTATCCTAGACAATCCTTTCCCAATTCTTTCCAGTTAACTTCATATAAATGGGGTAGTAGTAGTAGTAGTAGTCGTAGCTCTAATAGGAGTTTTTGTAGTAGTAGCGATCGTTGTTATCAAGGCAAATCATTCGTACAATTTACCTATCATCATTGCCTTTATTGACTTATTTGTTAAATTCGATTAGCAATTTTATTGCAGCAAAAAGAAAACTAAGAGAGAAAAGAAAAAGCAAGAAAGAAAAACTGGAAAGCATTCCCAAACCTCCCCAACCCCCCAAAAAATAAAAACCATAGAAACTACTTTGTTTTATTTTTCAAATTCTTCGATGAAAAAATCCCGCCCATTTTTGATTTAAATAAAAAAAGAGACAGAATTCATTGGAATAGACTATAGTAATAATTGAATAATTGAATAATTGAATAGATGAATGAAATAGATTATCAGGTAAAGGAAAAAGGAAAAAAACCTAATTGTTTATTATTCATGGAATTCAATAAATAAATAAATAAATAAAACTTTTGTTTCTAAGCAAAAGATGGATGGATAGTGGCTAACAGTGGAATCCTGTTTCGACGCATGTTTCGTCCTATTTGGGACTCATCAGCTAGATGTACCTGCATTTCACGATTGATGTTCCCTCTGAAACTCGAACCCAGTGCCATTCGCTGTAAAAGTCATTGCATTGTTCATTTAGCTACTGATGCCTTGTTAGATCCCGATAAGCATAATGAATGGTACATTTTTGGATCCACTAAAAATGATGTCAAATATTCAATTGTCTGATGGGTAAAAGTAGTTTTAAATTCGATACATTTCTTTTTCTTCGTGCGAGTAGACACAATGTTCATCACTTGTATTTCAATGTAGATAACTATTCAAGAGATTTTCTGTTTGCATTTATTGATTGATCAATGTTGCTATGTGGTATACATTATGTGTACTTCGTATTGAGTGTTTTGGTGTCACAGAAAATGGATTCATTTCAGGATGACTATATGAAGCTTTGAGGGATAATTCTTGAAGTTCTAGTCAGATCCGGTTTGAGCACCTAGGAAGTATCACAGTCCTCACACTAATCAAATGAAATTTGTGTGGCGCATATCTCTATTTGGTACCTCCATCCACCAATATCTATGTGTTCAAATAATAATAATAATGATTTATGTTAAAGTATCAATAAGTAGAATGAATCATAGAATTATGATTAAACTATTTGATTCATCGAAGGTTGAATTTGACGATTGTTTTTCCTATTTTGTTTGATAAAATTAAAGTACAAAGATGTTGTACTTTAAGGTAAAATCAATCGAAAACTTTCAGATCGAAAGTAAAATCTATTTCAATAGTTCAGATCATGAATTAATTGAAGCTAGATCAGCATAGAAAACCGAAAGTCCTATGTTCGATTCTCGGGTGCGGAATCGTGTATGCGCATTGCTGAGAAGCTTTATACCAGAACGAAACGGTTCCTCAGTGATTCGCATCCACGATTCCGCACCCGAGACTCGGACCTAGAACCATGGTTTAACGTTCGAACACCTAATCTCTAAACCATATCTGTAGTGTCGTATATTGCAATACAGATATGTGATGTCTACATGTTTAGTTAACAATCAACTATCAATATAGTTAAATAATATTCAAAGTATGAGAATTCGCTTGAGATTGCAACATTTTTGTAGTTGAATTAACCAATTAATCTATGCTAGATCATCATCGAAAACTTGGAACCACTGGATATTTGTTTCATTCTAGTGTAAATCTCCTCAGCAATACGCACCCACGATCCCGTACCTGAAACCCAAACTTAGGACCTAGAACACGTCTGTAGGGTCATAGAAACGCACTGCTGAAGAATCCCATACAAGGACAAAAAGGTCATTCCGCGCTTCCATATTTCCGATGATTGTGTGGCCTAGATCGATCCATAAATATTAGATTATCCATTTCATCATTGATTTATTGGTGAGAAATACCTGTATACCAATCATCTTACATATCAATGGCATAACTTTTATATTAAATTGAATAATAAACCGTCTATGTTAATTGTTTCAACATTTCAACATTTCACTTCTGCCTGAAGTTTGTTCTGCTGATGATGTCGTTCAGAAGAACGATGAAACCTCCACGACAAAACCATCCAGCTGAGAGAATAAAACTCCATCAAAAAACAAACTTCTCAAGACTATACAATTCATTCATTGAAATATTGAAGTATAAACGATTTGAACAATCCTTCAACAGTGAAAACACATGATGACAATTTGTGACATACTGTTATATCTCGACGAGAATAGTGGATGGTAACTATTGGGGTGCATTTATGAATCAAGATTGTATAATTGTTAGGTAGCTAAACTATTCATATTCATGTTTCTCCTATTATAAGCATTATTTTGACCCATAGATTAGTGGTATGCAATTTACCGTTCTTGAGTTATGCCCGGTCTATTAATTACAGTCTCACACATTCACAGCCACATTTGGCTAGATCGTGTACAAATGTTGTCTTCTATTTTATGGTGTGATGTGGTTTGTTTGGTTTGTATATAGACCCAGGATGTTTGAAATACATGATTCATATAGCAGAGGCTGTGATTGGTGTTCTGCATTCAAAAGGCAGGCAGCGCTAGGCAGGAAGCAGAACCAATAAGTACTCTAGACCGCTCGTACAAGTCATTTTTCCGGTCAATAAATCACCGTTCTCTAATTAACGGTATCGTTACGTCATATGTTAACAGGGTGAAAGGCTACCCTAAGTGACGCTTACATACCTCTCAACCCGGTTTATGTCCCATAAGTTCACTCTTCATCCACTTTCTTCCATAAATAACGCCGCCACAACGTGGATTCAGTTAGCAAGACTCCATTTGTAGAAGTTCAAAACCCACACAGGTTTTACGTGACTGTTCTCCAATCGGCGCAATCATCACATAATATATATTGATAATGGTTCAACTAACTTACTTACGCCTGTTACTCCTCGCGAAGGAGCATAAACCGCTAAACAGCTTTCTCCATCCAAACCTGTCCTGGGCAATCCTTACAGCTCTTTCCAATTCTCATTCATCTTTTTCATACCCTCTTCTATTTCCCAACGTAATGTGTTCTTTGGCCTTCCTCTTTTCCACTTCTCTTCAGGATTCCAAGTTAGCGCTTGCCTCGTAATGCAGTTCGATGATTTCCTCAATGTATGTCCTACCAATTTCCATCGTCTTTTCCTAATTACCCTCTTCAGCTAGAAGTTGATTTGTTTTCTCCCACAAAAACTATTGCTGGTGATATCCGGTCAATGCATGTTGAGTATTTTGAGTAGACAGCTATTGATAAATACTTATACCTTCTTGATCGTGTTTGTTGTAGTTCTGCAAGTTTCAGCTCCGTACAGTAGAACTGACTGCCTTGACGTTCGTATTGAAGATTCTGACTTTGATATTGGTTGAAAGTTGTTTTGAGTTCCATATGTTCTTCAATTGAAGGAATGCCGCACTTGCTTTGCCAATCCCCGCCTTTACGTCTGCATCCGAACCTCCTTGTTTATCGACGATGCTTCCCAGGTATGTGAAGGATTGTATAGCTTCCAGAGTTTCACCATCATTTGTGATTGGATTTCTGTTCTCCGTGTTGTATTTGAGGACCTTGATTTTTCCCTTGTGTATGTTGAGGCCTACTGATGCAGAGACTGCTGTCACACTGGCTGTCTTTATCTGCATTTGCTCGTATCTATGCGATAGGAGGGCTAGGTCATCTGCAAGTCTAAATCGTCTAATTTGTTGTGAGATGTCCATTGTATGCCATGTTTCCTCTCAGATGTCAAAGTCTTCATAATCCAGTCGACCACCAGAGGAAAGACGAAGGGAGAGAGTAGACAGCCTTGTCTGTCTCCGGTCCTTACTTGGAATGAGTCTGTCAGCTGTCCTCTATGCACGACCTTGCACTGTAGTCCGTCGTGTGAGTTTCGGATAATGTTGACAATCTACTCAGGAACTCCATAGTGTCGAAGAAGTTTCCATAATCTCCTATCTACACTGTCAGATACCTTCTCATAATCAATGAAGTTGATGTACAAAGACGAGTTCCACTCAATGGATTGCTCGACCTGTTGTGAAACTCTTCAACAGTACACAACCACGATCCCTCACACAAGATTCCAACCCGTAACTTTCGGTGTCACTTACAAACACTTAACCTCAAGATCACTAAGCCGAACACACTAATCAACATCATATTGTTTACTTAAATCTTCTCATTGATATTCAAGACTACTAAAAGAAGAGGGTTTTGTGAAGATCTTAGTAATTTCAGCTGTTGAGATCATGAGTCAATTGGACAACCGTTTCGTGCTCTTGTGGAACTCCTCCTTAGTAGTGCACATCCACGGTCATATCTCACGAGATTCGAACTCAGGACCTATTAGTCTCTTGCACGAGCGCTTAACCATTAAACCACATATGGATTATTCATTTATAGATTGACAATCATATTCATTCTAATTATATAAGATACATTTGAATGTGAATATTGTTGCCATGGCACTTGTTTTACTTTATTGAATTGAAATACAGTTACATCATTCCCTCTTTTTTTCTCTTTTTTCCTTTTTTCTCTTTTTTTCTTTATTTTCATTATGAATATCATTGTGAAGAACGTGTTGCAATTAAAGTATTAGATAAAAGTAAAATGAATACATCAACTAGACGATTATTAAGTCAAGAAATATCGATTTTAGAAAGTTTACATCATCCAAATGTGATAAGACTTTATGAAGTAAGTATACCATTATTCGTATTATTATTATTATTATAATCAGTAGTAGTAGTAGTAGTAATACAGTTTGTGAATGATGGTAGTATGGTGGTTGGAGGTAGTCAACAGGAAACCCTGGATACGGGTTTCGTGCTATTTCATACTCGTCAGCAAGGTGTATCTGTAATCTTAAGGGAACTGATGCTCCCTAATGGATTCGATCTCATGTCAGCTAGCTTCACAGGTAGAGGCATTAACATTGGCATATCCGGGTCGCGATCGACCTCCTGTAGGACTGAGATGTATTCACTTTGTGATGATCAATGCCATGTATGTGAAATCCTTGTTAGTGCAGATAGAATGGTATCGACCAAGTTGTAATGTGATCACTAGGTGAGTCTAGGTGACTGAACATAGCATTCGATTCGCACTAAGAAGGACTTGACACACATGATATTAATCACCATCGAGTGATCAATCAATTTTGAGTGAATGATGGTAAATGTAATGGATGACAAAGGAGTAACCAATGGATCCAGTAACTGATCCAATCATTCGAATGAAGTTTTCTTCACTTCATTTGAAACACAATCAGATGAGTAAAAGAGATGATCTCTGACTACAAAGGATTACAATTCAATATGTATGAATGAAATACTATATTTGCATTAGAAGAGGTGTGAAGGATTATTGCTGAATGATCTAACAAGTACAATCTCGATATCCCCTTCCCCTACATACCGGCAACAGAATAAATTGTCCAAAACTGGTGTCTTTCCATTAAACAAGAATGAAGTTCATTGAAAATCATTTTAGTTTTCTCGGAAAATACTCTGAATATAACATGATGGCTGAAGGTAGTCGACAGGAAACTCTGAACCGAGGTTTCAAGCTATTTGGCACTCATCAGTAAGGTTTACCCGTAATCTTGAGGGGACAGTGAGATTGATCAATGACAGTCCTCAACGTCCATGGAGAGATTCAAGTAAAACAACACCAAATGAATTTAAACTTGGCTCCATTTATTAAGCAAATGTCTAACAGGACACTATAACTTAGTGAATAATGAGATGGTATTCGAACAGAACAGTATTAAGGTCGAGTCTTAAATTGAATACCAACACCGAGATGCAATGACATCCAACTGACGAGTCACAAATAGGACGAAACACACATCAAACTCTATTCAATGACTAGCTACGATCCATCTTTATCTAAACTACATTACTTAACATCTTTCCATCGATAGTTTCTATACATTGTCTTCTAAAATAAAGTCAACTAATCAATCATTCAATGTATAATTGACATGTGCATGTCCAATGTAACATTGAACACATTCCACCTATATCAAACATACACTTCATTACTTCATTTAAACAAAAAAGAAGAAGAAGAAGAAAAAAAAGAACCAAAAAAGAAAGAAAACTGTTAACATTTTCTTCTCTTCTTCTCTTAGTTATTTCCTGTTAATGGCATGATTAGTTGTATGTTTATTATGTAAAATGAGTTAAATTGTATTCCCATATGGATAAGAATAGAAAGAATGATAATAGTAAGAGTAAGAGTAAGAGTAATAATGGGAATGGGAATGGTAACAGTAAGAATACTAATAATATTTTGTAATCAATGACGGATAGTGACTAGCAGTGGAATCCAGTTTGATACGCGTTTCGTGCTATTCGGGACTGGTCAGCTGGATGTACCTGCATCTCAGAGTTGATGTTCACTCCGGCACTCCAACCCAGTACTATTCACTTCAAACGCCATCGCGTTATTCACTCACCAACTGAGTCCTGATCGCCACTCGCTTTGTACAATGGTGTGAATTTAAATTCACTTGACGTTGTTTCACGTGGATCGTCCTATTGTTATTTAGCTCTGCCATTGATCAGTGTGATGTTGGCATATGTACATCGTGTTGGGGATTGGCTCGATATGGCGTTAAGTGAAGCGCTTTTTAAGCAACAATAATAATAACAGTAATAATGGTAATAGTAACGGTAATAGTAACAGTACTAATAATAGTAATCCTACTAATAATGACCATAGTAATGGTAACAGTATTAATACTAATCATAGTAATGATAATAGTGACAGTAATAATGATAATAATAATAATATAATTTTCATAAAGTACTCATTCTACTTTAATGCCAACATAGAATGAATTCAATTCGTATGATACATTCATTCCAATGATCAACAAACTCAATTCTATCATGAAGAATTGAACAGAATATGAGTTTTCATAAACATTAGTTGTATTTATTATCTTAAAGAGAGTAAGAACAATATGTGCTTTACACTTTCGAAGTACAATGTACTTCTACAAGATTGGCAGCATTTTAATCCTGTACTCCTTCTGGATGCTGAGCAGATAGAAGTAGTGAGAAGTTCGTGTATCTAGGTAGCTGCATAAGTGCTGTTGGTGGCGTGAGTGATGAGATCAATGCTCGTATAGTGAAAGCCAGAGCGGCTTATGCCAATCTGGGCCATCTTTGGCGCCTTCATGATGTCAGTCTGGCTATAAAAGGTCGGATATACAACGCGTCGGTGAGAGCAGTAGTGCTCTATGCTTGTAAAACCCGTTCTCTCCAAAGGATTGCTGACATCCAGTGGCAGCAACATGTTAGTAATGCAGAGGTTTCCTAACAACCGTATTACTTACTCGCTGGTCTAAGGATATACAAGAAATGTTTCGAAGACACCTATGATCGAACACTAGTAACCTACGAATATCCTCTACTCTTATCAGCCATATTTCACTTCCATGATGGAGGACAGAACGAACTGCTGCATGGTAAACGCATGCTTCGGCAGAAACTAATGCTTTTGATGAATTAGTCGACGATCTAACTACTGCCTAAATCTTCTTTCATGTTGTGTTTAACATAATGAGACTACTTAAATCAATGGAGAATAACAACTGAATACATTTTATATTTTGATTATTTTATCATCTGCTTATGACCACAACAATATAAAACAGACATTGGTGATTGAAAAGTTAACTTAAAGAGTTACTGTGCAGATTTAGCTAAGTGATAACTACAACAGCTCAGGAAACCGAATCTACTATTCAATCAGAAGATATATCAGTAAACAGGAGGATGAGATTTGAACCCATGTGAGGGAACCCGTAAATTAGAAAACTTGTCAAAGTTTTATAAAGTCAATCTCAGCTGAAAAACTGATATTTCACTGTGAATATCAATGTTAATATTTATTATGGAATCAGTTTTTAAAAAGACCATACAGTCCACTTTAATAACAAGGATTTTCAAAACTTAAGTTATTTTCAACAAAATTGGATAGAGCGTAGGTTCGAATTACGCGAGGTGAGATCGTGCATGCGTACTGCCAAGGAGGAGTCCTATACTAGAATGAAACGACTGCTCAGTTCTTCCAAGTTTTCCATGGTGGTCTAGCATCAATTGACTCATGATTTCAACTATTGAAATGACTACAATCTTCACAAAACCCCCTTCTGATAATAACTTCATTGTCAATTGAATGAAATAACATTGAACTAAGCCAAGATTGTATAACTAGATAATAACAATAGAAACACAGGATATAAGACAACTAATAATAATAATAAGGCAAGAACTCAATATGCATTATAGATTGTCTATGATATAAATACATTGACAACAGAAAATATGTACACCGTATGCCGATTGTTTTAGGTCATATGGTTTATAATTAAAAATAGATAGATAGTGGATAATAGTGGAATCTAGTTTGATGCATGTTTCGTCCTATTTGGAATTCGTCAGTTGGATGTATCTGTATCTTAGAGTTGATGTTCATTCTGGCACTTCAATTCAGTACTGTTTGCTTCGAATATTATCGCGTTGTGATAACTACTTGGTTGTGTTATGAGATGGAGACTAAGTATCTAAATTGATTGATTACATTTGAATTTCTATAAACTCGACATGGAAATATAAAGATATTTTGAATATTGATTAACAATTGGATACAGAAAGTACAATTTCTATTGTCAGAATCTCATCAACTGGGTGTACCTGTATCCAAATATTGATTTTCATATTAAAACTACTACGTCATAATGCTCTCTTCAGACACAAGCGTAGAATCAGTTTACCGACCAATAGGTCCTGTATTCGAATACCGCGAAGCGTGGTCACGAATGCGCACTGCAAAGGAGGAGTCCGACAAAAGGACGAAACGGCCGTCCAATGTTTCCTGGTTTTCCATGATGATCCACCTTCAATCGATTCATGATCTCAACTATTGAAATTACTGACAGATATTGATCGAATAAAACCCCAAATATCAATAAAAGTGAAATGAACATTATACAATATTTACAAGCCCTATGTACATACATAAAAATATGAATTCCAGCTTATCAGAAGCAAAAGATTAAGCAAATGAGATTACCAATGTTTTGTTAAAATTGAATAACTCTACTAACAAATCGTGTCTAGTGGTAGGAGAGTGTCACCTAGTTTGCTGTGTAAAATTCTTGACTTTTAGACCGAAACATATGCGTAAGTAAAAATAAACTTCTATGTTCTATCAATTGATTGAGTGATATAGATCTGAAATCGATTTCACTGAAATAACAATGGTTAACACCATGAGTCAATTGGAGCCAGACCATCATGGAAAATCTGGAAGAACTGGATGGTCGTTTCGTCCTATTGTGGGACTCCTCAGCAATGTGCATCCACGACCTCGCCCCCTGAGAGATTCGAACTCAGCACCTACTGGTTTTTCGCGCGAACACTTAATCATTAGACCACTGAAATACTTGGATCATTGAAGGAGATTCAAACAATTCACATGAATTATCAGCATGGCTTGTGGAGATTTGAATGGATTAATGTTAGACAACTTTTGAAAACATAAACACACTGTACAGCCGCTTCATCCTAGCATAGAACTTCTTAGCAATATCTATACATCAACTATTCCTCTCACAGGATTCGAACTTATGATCTTTGATCTCACTCGCAAACACTTACATAATAACTAGACCATTAAGTCGGTATCCACCATTGAATACACGTAAACACTAATCAATAGAATTGTCTAATCATCATGTATCACATTAAAACAGAATATTATTTCCCACATTATCTCATTAAAATTCTATTTAGGCGCCATATCAACGAAACGTCGTACAGATATACAAAATTGATTAAAACAACAACAACAACCAAACAAACAAAAAGTGGTATCTACCTAGAAACTATTTGTGTAATTCATTCTTCTGTTGTTGTTGTTTCTTTTGGTCATTTTCATTTTGATTATCTCAATTTATTGAACGAGTAGAACCAACAGCCAAAAAATATTTTCATGATAGTAGTCCATTCATAGAATTTCACTTATCAAAGTTAACGTTAGTAACAGGGATAATAAAAATGAGCACAGCAACAACAACAACAACAACAACAAAGGCAACAGCTACGGCAGTAGCAACGACAATAAAATAGATAAACCTTTGAATAGAGCATCATTTCATTGATGAATATTGTCATATTCATTGAAAGGAGATAAATTTTAAAAAATGAGGGGGAAACATTCATTTTCTATTTCTCTGCTCTTCCCTCTCCTCTCCCCAATCTAGATTCTGTGATCTGCACTACTCAACCTCCGCCTCCCCATCTCTCACTCTTTCCCCCCTCTACACTTTCATAATAATAATACTCTTTTTTAATGTAACATTCCATGATTGGATTCTTTTCTCTCTTTTTTTCTCAGTGAATGTACCATATTCAATTAGTTAGTGATAAATTGAATTTAATCAATTTCTTCATTTTTTCTATTTTTGTTGTTATTCAATGTTGCCAATGTTGGATGAGAAGGCGTGTTTGTTTTTTGTGTGTGGAGTATGATTAGTCATTTTCATAGGTTATGATCATGAATCAATTGAAGGTAACACTGCATGGCTGATCGTTTCGTCCTATTGTGGGATTCCTCAATGACAGTGCGTATACACGATTCCACTTCACAAGATTTCAGCCTAGGTTCTATTGGTCTCGGGTGCGAGTATTTAACCTTCAGACTACGGAATCGTCCGACATCTAATGGTGTTCATGTTTAACTTCAACCAATCCACGAAATTGGAAGACACATTCAGTAATATCATCATCGCTTTTCATCCTGTCAATTTCGTAAACAACACTCCTGTTGCAAGAAGGCAATGTGTAGGACTTCTCTGATAGTAACTGTATACACGTGTTCATGTGAGAGCATTTCGAGTGACAGTACTGACTCTCTACACCCTCGACCATACCAGGACATTTGAGGGCTTTCTTAATCTAAACATTTATCCTTTATTTTAATAAAGCATTTGAAAAGATATATTTCAGTACAACTGTGTTACATACTACTTATACGTATCAATGTGAGTAGTATATAATGCTAATAGGAAGAGAACTACCTAGTAGTAGATACCTAAGAACATCAAGTTAAAGAGAATAAAACAGAATGGAAAATAGAATGTGATTGTAAACTGGAAGAGCAAATGATTGTAATTTGTAAATGAGATGTTGATGACGTCAGATCCCCAGAACTCTCTTGGAAACGGACCTAATTTTGTAATTTCAGTTAGAAAATTTGAATTTCTTTATTTACGCGTCAAAGGCGCTGTTGTCACCTTCATGTTATATGTCCCATTGGACGTCTTCCACTAGTTAGCTGAGCTGGGACACATCTGAATATCTAGCTTATTGATCTTTGGTCACTGTGTCTTTGTTCTCATGTTCACAGATTAAGTGAACTGGTGATAGCATCAAACCTAGTTTATTCCTACTTCAATTTCTATTCATAACACAATAATAACTTCATGATTGATGTTTGAGGTATTCAACACTGCATCCTTATACACAATCTTTCTTTTATTTCTATATATTACTATCATTGAAGTAACTAGTTCTATGAATCCGATGTTCATCTTGTTGTGCTATTGAGGTATGGCGACTTGGACCGATCGTATATATATGTACCTGGTCCTACATTGTAACCGACTGACTTTCTGTCTGACCGACTGACGGACTGACTGACTGACTGACTGACTGACTGAATGACTTAATGAATTCTTGATAAACAAATAGACTAAATTATACAATACATGCGTAGTTTCTTCTTGTCATATTGAAAGTCCTATAACTAATCCCTATTGTATCCATATAGAAATGTAATAAGAAATGTGTTATATAACATTATGTCTATTACGTAATATTCCCCATTGATTAAATTGATTTATTTTAAGAAGAATGAAAGCATAAAGCACAATATAATACTTACTACTTACTACTTATTATTATTAAAGTAATAGAATTAGAATAGACCGTTAATGAATTCGGTAAAACGCAATTCATTTCTAAACATTGATTTAAGTAGTATTAACAAGATGTTTAACTTTCATAGAATTTCTTGTTTTAATAGTTGAGATCAGAAGTCAATTGAAGCTAGACCACCATGGAAAATCTGGAAGCCCTGAACGGTCGCTTCATCTTATTGTAGTACTCTTCAGCAAGTGTACATCCATGATCACACCTCTTGACTGGCTTGAAGTTACAAACATAAATCAGTGGATATAAGCTCGGTGATTTAAAGTTCGAGCTCTCACCACGAAACCTGGTGTTTCTACATCTGATTTCCGGTGAAGTCAAATTCTAGGACTAAACGGTAGTCCTATGCTTCCAGGTTAATGTCTAACTACAAAGAATCCACAAAATTGCACGACATAGTCACCATTGAATTCAGCGCCATTCGTCGACCTCTCTCTCGTCACCGTCGTTTTCGGAATGCCAGATATTTATCTTAAATCTCGTGATGTTGACGGCGAACGTGAAACGATCGAATGAACATTCTGTTTATTTAAAGTTTGCTTCTGCACATTATTATCTTGGCCGATGGTGTTCTGAATTACATTTCTATTCCATTTTATTCTTTTTAATTAATTCATTTTAAACAATAATTTAATAAAGATATTTGTTATAAAATGTGAACACTTTTTCCTCCATCCACCGTTGTTTTGAATGAGTCAATAATTGATGGCTTAATAGGTAGGTTTGATTACAATTGATGCACACACTGATCGTTTTGCACTAGGAAACATCTACACACAACAACCATGCATATTCAATTTGATTTATACACAGCATATCGTCGTCCGAATTCTCGATCACGGTTGATTGAAGACAGGAAGTGTTTGGGCCATGTAAGATTTGTTCAATGCAGTAGTGAGTGAGCTGAGCAATGTATGCATCTCACAATTTAAGTGAGTTTTAATGTTCTTCGAGAAAGATATTCACAGTATTGAAGTTCCGAATGAGTAGAAATCACCTCCGACGTTGAAGAAACAAATGTTCCATTGCGTACGGTTTTCGTGTCACCGAATTTCACTAGCAGAAAACAGCGATTGTCGTAGTGTTGCGAATACTTGAACACGTGTGTCAAAATACCTGAATGTGACTGATAATGCGCATAAAGTTGAGTTGAATGATAACACACATTGCAGTGTAAACTACTAAACCATGATATCATTGTTCCTGGAGTGTAGTCATTCTGAATTATTTGACTGGAGAAGTTCATAAGCAGTTCCACATTACCACGAGGCGTTGTTGGTTTCATGAAAATATGTGAGTATGAAGGCTAGAGTTACTCCATTCACATCTGTTGAAGGTGTTGGTTATGCTTGAAAATGCATCCTCACACAGCTAATCACTCAAAGTTCACTCGGACCGAATCAGTGCGATATGTAAGTCACTTTGTTGTTTGCAGTGACACTTAATTAGGGTCATTACAGATGTAAGAGTCGATTCGGCAAGTTAGTGAACGTGAAGAAAACAATGATTGAAGGATGTAATTCTCATTATCTCGAAGCGGTCAATAGTGCCCCGATTGTCGAACCTCTTTTTGAGTAATTACCAGGTTAACAAACGGAAACAAGGGGTGGTAATATTCTTTATCATATATTTAGTGGAGATGTCATCGCACTATCTGTCGAAGTGAACGTTGTATAAAATACATTCATCCTTCAAATAACGTATTTGCACGGAATCTTTTATTGGTCTTTGCTTTGCACTGCAGCGCTTTATGCGAATTGACTCGTGTTTTAGAAAAGACTTAACAATCTATCCTTTACATTCAGTCAATGCTGTGAGTTGTGAACAGAATTAGAAACAACCGTATTGAAATACATGATCCATGTTTAAAAGTCGTTTCCCTTTCTTTTCTGTCACACAAGGTAGTAGAAGTAGTAGTAGTAGTTTTTGCTGTAGTTTACTGCAATCACACAATCCTCAAAGCTGAACACGAGATAACTTTCAGAGAATACCGCAACGATGCGTAAGGCAGACAGAAGCAATTGAATATATTCGAGTTGGTTGGATGGCACGGCTGTGCTTTTCGTGTGTGTTCCCTGTTTAATGTTACTTTTCATCTTTTACTAACATTAAATATATTGTTCTATATCCAGTCTGAACGTGCTCTCCATCATATATGTAATACGGTAAGATGATTCAATGTAGACAATGATGTGACTTCCGTCTAAGATCTTATTGATTAGGCAGTTACATCAGGACAAGTCCACCATTTAGTAATAGGTCTATTATGGGAGTAATATTGTTATCGCAGTAGACGGAAATTTTACAATAGTAGTAGTAGTAATAGTAGTAGTAGTAGTAATAGCATCATTTGCAATATATTTTATAGAAATCTGAAGTGATATATTTGTTTGCTAACATCTCGTTACCACCACCAACAAACTCTCGACTAATGAACTACCGATTCATTTCCTCCTCCTCTCACTTACACATACATCAAAACAGAACAGTACAACTCAATCGGCATACTGCGCAGTCGATCAAACGGAAAGTCGACTAGTGCATTTAATGATATGCAGGTTTAACTGAAGCACCCACAAACAAAAGCACACTTCGGACAAACGAATCTGGATGGTGAGTAGTGAAAATTGAACTTGACATATCAATAATGCAATCAACGGTAATGTGAATTTGTTGACACAGCTTTGGTCACTACCATCAAAATCTTTGCATACTTGTATTGATAATGAGTTGATGTCACTTCACAATGCAAGATGAAGTACGTTCCCATGCCTAGCTTGAAAATGAATACACAGTGACCAGCAGGACATGTTGGTTTTTGCTGAAAATGCATCATCACTTGACTGACCACAACTGGTAATCCAGGGTGTAACGTCTGTTGCCGAACGACTCATCAACTCGGTGTTACGCACACAACAATAGCATTCACATGCCTATCGTCTAATTTTCGAGCTATTTCGCCTCATTTCACATCTTATTCAAGGTATTATATTACATACTAATAATCAGTAGTTGAGTTCACATTCGGAGGCTTTTATTTTGTTTGTCATGATGTTTGGTATTTGTGTGGATTGAAATTCATTTCGAATTGTCAGATTAGATATGCCACGCGAAAGATTGATGTTATTGATAGGGAGTAGTGTGTGTGGTGGACGGTTCAATGTGAAGCTGATGTTTTCTTCATAAACGTCAACACAAAGTACAGATAGAAATTAAATGCGAGCATTTAGCTTGTAGCTGAACATTCATTTCAGCTGTCTTTCCTTTACAATTTAATTGCTGAACTTGTTATCACTTCCGATTCTTCTGTTTGGTCAGCAAATGCAGTCGATTTCTCTATATTGATTTGTTGTTGACTAACATCAATGCCGAACTACGATTAATGTTCTGATCTCCCTTGTAATTTGTCTGTCAAAATATATGCACTGTCGAACACCATAGTATCTGTTCATTGATACATCGATACATGTTTACAATCGTCGACAGACAATCTACTGGGATAACATTGGTGTATTCTACATCAAATCTGATTGAATCCTGAGTTTCGAAATATTTTTTTGAAGTTAATTCTCTGATCTCACTTGATTAATATTCCATGGTAATTATTACTATGCCATTAGTTATGCTTATGGTGCCCCCAAATACAAATTTGTGATAAT